GATCGTCGTTGTTTATTGGCTTTTCCCCCCCTCGTTATGGTGTAACTTGCGATAAAACGGAAACACACTCATCTGTGCTCACACTGTGTCACTGGTTGCTCGTGTTTAATTGTTGAGATAATTGCAGAAACATTTCTCATATTCTCCTTCTTGGCATTTTTATGGCAGTTTTACTTCTTTGATTATTATTTATTCATTCATCTTTTTATTTACGGATATGAACCCATTATAGCACATAATATAGTATACAGCGTGGGCCACGTTAAACAAGCCACCTAATTATATTCTGCTGCTATAGAGGTACGAAAAAATTTTACCTAGGTAATTTAAATGGTTTTAAGGTGGGAATAAGATAGGAAAAAATTTGAAGCTTCACGTCTGATTGAAAATTTTAAGGTGCAAGGACTTTTTGAAGTTATATTATTATGCGGTAGAAAAAAATGTATAAATTCGTGTACAACCTTGAAAAATGCAGAAAGAAATGACATTTACAGAAAAATTAGTCCATCCTGTATATTGCAAATCGAAAGGAGAAGAAGAAGATACAGGACGTTGAAAGGAAGTCCTGAAAAATCGAGAGGATTAAAAAGAGAAACCGGAAGGATAATGAAAGTAGAATTGGATTAACGCAGCTTGTATTAAACGCGAAACAAATTAATATACATCGTGAATATGAATGTGTGACAGAAATATTTTCATAAAGGGAAACGAGGCAGAAAAATAGGCAAACGAAATAATATCAGCATAAATTTAAATTAGACCGTGTCAGTGCACAACTCAGCGAAGGCAAAATCCACCTAGTCTGAAAAGTAGGTTTCCATAAATTTCAACTTCGCGGAGCAACCGAACTCTCTGCCGGAGTCTCTGCAGAGAGTCGAGCAGTACGTTTAAAAAGAACGTGACAGTGATGAGAGCGTCGGCTACAGGGAGGGAAAAACTTTCACGAACATGCAAAGGGTCTCAACGCCCATCTTGGTTATATTTCATTCGTCGCAGATGTCCCTGGAATTTGCGAGAGAAATCGAAACAATACGATCAGGTGCGGACGGGAGAAGAATTTCAATTGTGTCTGTATTGAAAATTCTTTCAATTTCTTTGCTTCGTTTCGGAATAGAGGGTAATATTGTTCGAGTGTTCAGAAAAATTTGAAGGGTAAAATTTAGGGCGAATTTCACGTTCGAAGATGTTCCGCTGTTTATCCAAGTGTCGAGAAGTTGCACTTTGTCGCACAAAACAATTGCGGAATGTACATTACCGAACGAGTAGAGCGACTGTCTTTGTGAAATTAATGTTCAAGGGAATACTACGAAGTTTCAGATATTAGTGACACCCTGTGCATAGTTATTACATCGTTTGTGTAACAATATTAACGAAGTTAAGTCATACTGAACCGTTTCTACCAGAATTCTGCTTTGCATACAATTCAAGGTACCCGTGCCTCACACCTCTTGTTACAAGATCAACATATTATTTGGACAAATTTGCACAAATTTACCGTTAAATCTAACTAATGACATTTCATAATACTACTGGGTGGCGCACATAACACTATATAGTTCAAATACAGAATGCGGTTTTATTGTTTTATTTGGTAATAATTTACTGTACATTTGAGTTTCACTTGGTATTGTAAATAAACTATACTTTTTATGGTAAATGGTATTTATGATAATTTAACTTGATATGGTAAATAAACTGTATTTTTGCATGGTAAATTGTCTTGGTATAGTGGATAAACTGTATTTTTTATGGTAAATGGTATTTATAGTAAATTGACTTGATATATTAAATAAACTATACTTTTATAGTAAATGGTACTTATAGTAAATTGACTTGGTGCTGTAAATAAATAATATTTTTGTGGTAAATTGACTTGGTACGGTAAATAAACCATACTTTCAACAATTTCCACGCTTACCAACATAATTGCAAAACTTTATAAGCACCATCCAGTCTGAAGCAAACATAATGAGCTTTACTTTTACGTTTAATATAATTAACATTCATAAAGCTCCTTTACAAATTCCTTCTCCGCGAATTCCGCCAGGAATATAATCGAATGGAATTTACACCAAGCGGTTAATATTCCCAAGAACCATACCGACGTATCTCATCGCGATTCAGAAAGAGATTCAGAAAGATACAAATTCCTTCTCCGCGAATTCCGCCAGGAATATAATCGAATGGAATTTACACCAAGCGGTTAATATTCCCAAGAACCATACCGACGTATCTCATCGCGATTCAGAAAGAGCAGTCCGAACTTCTTCCTTCTTCCCGTAATTTGCTCGTCGGCGAAACGACAGGAAAATCATTCACTCGAGTTCTTCAGCTTCGTAGAACAAATGTGCAAGGGGGGAAGTTCGGTGAAAATTCTGCGGTGGAGGACAGAGAGACGGATCTGATCGTCGATAACGAAAGAAGCCAATAAATCTATTTCGACCCGCAACAATGGAAACAATTTCGAAGTCGATGTGGGTCAACCGCGGTCGGGAATGTTCCACTTCCAAGCCACGCTCCTCTCTCCTCCCCATGAATGGAGATTAATAGTCCGCGCGCGGGCGCGTGATCACCAACAACGGTGAAGAAAAGTCGCAGGAAGTTGCCGACGATACACACACTTTGGGCCACTTAGTATTTCGCCAGGCAGCTGTGTTACATCGATTTTAATCCAGTCGATACGTTGGACTTTCAAAGGCTACGGCCGTTCAGGGTGTGCCAGAATCCTCCGAGCTATTGTGCGCCTCTAGGAGGATCTAGATACCAGGAAGGGAGAGATAGGGAGAGGAAGTAATGGAAATTTGGTGGAAATGAGCCGATGCTTGTGGGTATTTTGCTGTGTTTCGTGAGCACGGAAAGCAAGAATTTCCAGAGGAATTGCAGGGTGGTTGAACGGGGATGGAATCGGTTTTGAATGAAGGAAGATGCCAGCGAGTGGACGTTGGGGAGATTGAGTTTGTTTTCGAGAGGTATGAACGAACGAAGGTTGCTCGAAGATGGAGTTGCTAGATTGGGTGAAGGTCTTGGGTTCTGATATGCGAATAATAAAGGCTGATTCTTTGAATTTGGATAATTCAATTTTGTTTCTCTCTGTCTCTATCATTTGCAACATATGGTACTTCATTCTGAGAAATTTAGGTTGAATAATATTGTCAGAAAGTGACTAAATCCGTAAAATAAAGTTTATCAAGATTGTTTTATTTATGAAAAGTTAAGCATCAAGCATGTGCTTTGATGCTAAAATTGGAAGAATATGAAAAAGTGGAGTTAATCAGTTTTGCTTCTGTGTAAAATGATTTTACATTATTAATTTTGCTAATACAGGGGTGTTCGCCAACATTCTAGAAATCGTTTCAGCAAGCTTCAACTATTCATCTATTCAATCACAATTCCTCTGATTGATGATGCGTTAATCTTTAAGTATCAACTTTTGTAAAGTATTCAACTAGGAGGTTTCAATCAACACACATTCCTACATTCTCCTTTAATTTCATTACTTCGTCATAGAAAGAGTTACTAATTTCGTAACTGAGAAACTAGGTCGACAACTGAATCCAAAGTTTCCAATAACTGAAATAACTTTGTCAGATAGTCGAAATACACGGTGCTTCAAAAAAACTGTCTCAAAATGCACATATTTCCTTTTCTTTCCTCTGCGAAAGAAAACGAACGAACAAGTGGAGACTTTATGAAGACTCTAAAAAAGAGTGACTTCCACATTCTTCTCGAAGTACCCTGTAATCAAGAAATCCTCCGACACTATCTCACACTCAAACGTTTTCCTTTTCTTCCAACAGGTACATCATCACATCCCTCTGCGACAGCTGTGAAAGCAGCGACGCTGTAGTGGCGGTCGTGTTCTGGGTAGGCTACTTCAACAGCGCGCTGAACCCTCTCATCTACGCCTACTTCAATCGAGACTTCCGGGCCGCCTTCAGGAAGACATTGGAAAGTTGTTGCGTGGCGATCGGCCCTGTTCGCGATCTACGTCAAGTCCACAGGAAGCAGGACTTGGTGCACAGCAACGCGTCGTCAGAGTTACACGTGAACAATCAACTGAGAACCAGCGAGATGACCAACGTGCACATCGAGGCGTGTATCTGAATTCGAAACTCGAGATTCCTAAAACGTTGACGTCCTCGCGATCTCGGCTGATCGGAGAAGATCGTTCGAAGTTAGCCCCTCCTTCGAACTTAAACACGATCCTTCCGTGTCAATTCCTGAAAAAAGGGGATCGTTCTAACTTCCGATTCGTGTAGCAGCAGACTGTTGACCTCGTGTCTCGCCTCAAGTTAGAATCCTTCGATTGCCAATCAACAGCTATAACAGTCTGACGGAAGATGTGTTTCGATCGACAATTAAAAGGGGTTGGGGGAGTAGTGAGAAGAAGACTTTTTTCTCGATCGCCAATTAACGACCAGAGCGGAATAATTGACGTTTTTGTCGGTAATTAAAAACTCGTTCTTACCGATCCTTCGACCGGTACGAAAAAGAAAAAGAAGAAGCGCGAGTCCGTTGATCCTCTAGAGTAAGTTTTTTTGTTGCTGGCTTTTTCGAACGTTTTTACGTTGTAATCCTGTTTCTAGGGAAGGAAGAAGCCTGTTAAGCAAATTACACTATCGATACCTGGCAGCAGGAGTTTCGAATTAAATCGAGCTCGAGGCGCTTCAAGACTGTTAGAATTCCTATTCCTTTCCTCTCGATTTTTTGTTTTCGTTTAAATGGAATATCAAGGTGACGCGGGTACGCGAATGAAATTAGGTGGTTTCCAAGAGTGGGGATGTACTTGTCGCACAATTTTTGGTTTGAAAATTTACGTAAATTGTATTGAGATTGTTTGTTCTGTTGTACGAGAGAAATTCGTTTATCGGATCGTTTTTAACTTCAACTACAATTCTATCCCCACTGTGTATATATTTTGAACATATCACTATGCTCGTATTTATCGATAAGAACTCGAGATCACTCTCACTCGTGATTCGTTTGCGATAAAAATACTAAGCTTCAGGTCGTCCCACAAGTAATGCAAATTTCCTTTCTTACTTGTTGGGAATTTTATTATAAAAATGTAATTGAAACTATTAGATTTCTGCGTATTTTTCTTCACTTTCTACAAAATTTCGCCATCTTTCTACCAATATTTCGGTGCTCGTTTTACAAAAATTCTTCTGCTTCGTTGCAAAGCAGCTGTCTAAGGCTCTTCAGGCGCTCGTCGTTTCATTCTAATTCAATTTTCTTCGAAACAAGTGGTGATCTGTTGACGAAATGTCTGGAATGATTCGTTCCCAATCAAATTCCCCTAATTTGCCATATGTGACCGTGCATTTTCTCGAGAGCTGAGTGAAAAGTTCTAGTTGAGGAGCACCTATTGTTAGATCTGTTCGAGGTACACACATACATTAAGGGAAGATATTGTGGCCGAAAAAAGACAAAACTTGGTACACGTGTACGTTCCAGGTAACGCGTTATTAAAAGAGAAGTTCAATGCCCGAAGAAGCGTCCTGAAAGGAGAAAATTTTCCACGCGGTCGACCTATTTCAAGGCGTTTGCCTGCCAGCCAGACTTTGCCGTCTATTTCTGCCGCGTGGCGTTTTATCAAGTCCGTAAATAAGGCTGCTGCCCCCCGAGCAGATGGATGATCTGATTTGAGTAATACTTTAAGATTGGCCTGATAACGTCGCCACCGTGTCGTGCTTTTTTCCCATCGTCTCGATCGCGACTTATTAAGTTCCTTATTTGTAGGCGGATGGATGAGAAAAATTAAAGCTGAGGTTCGATGGAGAAATTTCTTAAAGTCTTGCCTCGTTAAGCAAATTTGCACAGATTTGACAGAATTTTTCTTCAACACTTTTCAAAGCGATATTCTCACTCGTGAATGTAGGCGAAAGGAAAGTTTAAAGTTGATGCTGAAAGATCTTCTATGACGGCTGTGAGAATTGAAGAGATTGGACATTATTCGAATTTTAGAAATTTTAGTGAATTTTTTAATCGTGTAATTAACTTAACGATTTTATTCATATTTTGGCTTGCTCAGACTGTTCCCTTTAAATTATCCCAACAGATTTAAATATTTCACCAAGAACTTCAGATGTTTCAGTACTAATTTAAACACGTTTAGTAATTACTGCAATTACTTAGTTAACGAGTAGAAAAATTTGTAGGTTTATTCCAGGGCCAATTGCGTTAACGTCAATTCCCATTTTAATTTTCACTAATTTTCACCCTTGTTCGAGTTCATTTAGTCTCATTATTGCCACGAAACGCTTACAATCCTCTTCTATTAGTTTCATTTCTGCTTCAATCAAGAATTCAGACAATTTTGCTATCGAAGTATCTACACACAGAATAATTAAGGAACTCGACAATTATTCCTCCTTAATTTACTAAATACCTAACAAGTATTCATCATTCTTAACCATTTTATTCTACTCAAACTTTCAATTTCACCAAAGACTCGCCACAATTGAATCAATTATCTCAGAAACAACATATGTGATATTTTCCAGCTTTTGAAAGAAAATGATAAAAACTATTTCACTCTCATAATTCCTGCCTTAAAAGGATCCAGTATAACATATGTGTTTTACTATAATTTCAATGTAATAAAATTTACAATTTTGTATTAGAGAACAGAAAAAAAAAATAAAGATAGGAAGAGTGTCACACATGTGTCTTTTCTGAAATAACCGAATCAATTTTAGCATAGCTCTTCAGAGACACTTGATTTAGCCAGCTCATCAAGGGGAACACAAGCTGCAAAGGAAGAAATAAATGCAACTACATCCAGGACACACAATACGTTTAATTAAAGCCTGATTAACAGAAGGACTCGTCGAGCAGAAAGAAACGAGCCCTGTCAGCGACTGATGAATTTCTCTGTCACCTCCGCGGCGAGTTTATTAAAGTCAGACGGAAAGTGTGCGCTCGTGAACATGGCCAAAGCCATGTAAAACGAGCATTGTGGTCGGAACGTGGCATTGGAGTATGAAAATTACCTCAAGTGTGAAAATGTCCGAGACCTGGTCTCGATGTTAACACGGGGAATTAAAGGATAAACGGGAATCATGCGAAAGGAACGCGGATTACTGCTGAGAAAACTGCTTGGATGAGTTTTGTGTTTGAAAGAACTGGCTGCTTTTTTCCAACGAGAATCCGGATGTTCGATGAAAAAGAAAAAAGAAAAAACCGCCTTCGGAGAGAGCTTTCAGGTTATTCTGTCGCGTATGAAGATCATGCACGCTGACGCAAGCGAGGATAATTGTCGGATTACGGTGCAAGGTGAAATTATGCAAATTAACGAAGCAAAGAATTCTGCTAATAACGAGCTTCCTTTTTTTAAATTCTTTGGATATTTTAAAGAAGAGCGATGGAATGTTGGGAATGTGACGGTTTGATGGTATTATAGAATGAAAAATAAAATTGGGAATTTAGGAATGATGGAATGTGAGGGCTCGATAGTAGGACGAAGGAAAAAATTGGAATGATGTGAAAAGGTAAGAAAAATGTGTACGAAGTACTTTGACGAAGAAAATTGACAAAGACGACCAAGAATTCTGAATTAATTATGAATGCATTTGACTTGCTTTCCCAGTATTTTTTATTTTATATACATTTCTAAATCATCTCTGTACCAACTTTCTTTCCACTTTTTCCCCTCATTCGTATGTACATACTCCTTTCATTCCAATGCTATCGTAACATACTTTTTAATTAAATTATCACATCTACCTTTTTCCATCTAAAATAATCCTCCTCTCCGTTCCTGTTATTTTTCCAAATATTTCACGCAGTGTGAAATTCGTAGCGTTCTATTTCCAAACATTCGCTTCGCTTAATTTATCGATACTGCGATCCTTTTGTGTTTACCTAGTTTCTTATTTTTTAATCGTTCCACGTTTAATCTCAATTCTTTTTTACACCTACACGCTCAACATTGTCAACATTGCCGTACTACGTTAACGATTACACAGTCAATTTAATAGGAATTCTCGTGTATACTGTGTTACGATGAAATCCGTGTACAGTGTTTCCGTTTCAAAGGAGACAGCGTTATAGAACGAGGCGTTCGAATAATAGCATGTTCGGATAACAGAATATTTGAATGGCATAGTATTCAGATAATGAGAGCTTTACCGTATGCCGAGGCGTGGGTGAAATTGCAATTGAAGATTTTGCTGCAAGAAGCAGACAGCTCTATAGGTATATTCAACTTTTGGGAAATTAATAAAAACAGCGTTAACAAATTATTCTTGATACCTGACACGTGTCACATCTTCGCGAGAAAATTGTCACAAATCGAAAGCATGAAATTTTTTAGGAGAACGAAAAGAAAAGTTTCTGTTTTGAAAAATTACTTAATTACAACATTACGAAACATACGCCAGCCAAAAATTCACTTAGTTGAAGTACGTGGAAAAATAAAATCCTGGACATTCTAGTAAATTTCACGATCAAGAGACAACGAGATAAATGATTCAGCATTGTCAGACAAAATTGTAGAAAATTAATAAAAACAGTGTGCACGAAATATTTTCAGCCATGTCGCAGAAAATTGTGTCAAGTGGAAACCGTGAAATTTTGAGGCCGGCGAAAAAAAAAGAAATTTCTGTCAGCTAAAATTAATCGATTCGAAGTATACGGAAAAGTAAAATCCTGCAAGTAAATTTCACGACCAAGAAACGAATCTCCTTGATCCTTGCGATGTTAGCTTATCCGACGACGAGATAGATGATACTCTGAGCCAGTGGAATGTTCATTGTCGGATAAAATCGTAGAAAACATCTTGGAACCCGGAACGGTACGCTGTCGTTTTAATAAATCAAGAAGCTTCGGTGGTTGTGCATACACGCGAGGACTTTCATTAATAAAAATTTCCAACTGCATCATCCTGGTAACAAGTTGGCAAGTGGAAGATGGTCCTTGGTCGTTTTCGAATAATAGCGTTGGCAAGAACGGGGGGAAACGATATTTTCGAGGTGCAAGGAAAAACTTGGCGGAAAGACGAATGTTTCGATAAATTTTTCACGGAACATCAGTTGTTCGCATGCAACATAGTTGCGTTCGCTGTGGCCATGCATCATGTAAGGATGCAGACGTCTCTGGTG